GCAGATGGTTTTCATATGCTGTAGTTCGGACAAACTTCCGCAATTTTATGTCGTCAGCGAACAGAGTGGTACCATAAAATTACACGCACAGGAGACCCCGATTGCCCCTTCAAAATTCAGACCTTGCCTTGTCACAGGATTCAGTTGGATGGGTAGGAGGAGACTTACGTAGATACCGCACATTTTGCCGCTGCTGCACCCAGTCCGTTGAGTACTCGGTGGACTCCTTCGCCCTGCGACGATTGAGCTGCACCTGCAGTACAGGTGATCTTGTAGTGGCCCCCAGCAGCCACTTGGAACCCAAAATCAGCCGCTGATGCATGGCACCTTTGGCCTGCGCGCCCACTGTCGCCTGGGGCCAGGCGCTAACTCGCTGACCGTGACCGCGCGCCCACTCTAGCCAGCCTTCGCCCATCTCAAGGTCACACTACGACCGCTAGTCTAGACATTAGCCGCGTGATTGGCTGCCATAACAAAGCATGCGCCGGCGATTCCTGATGCTCTTGTGAGTCCGGAATTGACGTCCTGCAGTCATCCGAGAGTCAAAACTCTTTCCATCTATTCTTCTATCCTTCTGCAGAATACACTATTCATAACAATCTGGCTTTCCCAACGTCTTCTCTCCTTACCTTTAGGAACTATGGGCCTGGAAGATCGTAGCTATTAGGGTTAACCTTCTTAGCTTTTACACCTGTCGATAATCGTAGGCCAATGCCATCGATCGGCGTAGACTTCCGAGCGAAGTCGCAACAGTTGGCACGTCAGTGCCTAAAACTGAATATCGAGCACCTAGCGATGCGACCTTACTCAACTCTCATCAACTCCTCCCATGTCTTCCGTTGGTTAACTAGAGTTCGCCAGCAGTTGCAACCGATTCCAGGCAACATGATGTCTGAGCCAGGTTTTACCGTGTTCAGAGACATATATCTCAGCACTAATAGCACCTCCAATTCGGAAAAAATCATCTGTGATACGCTAGGACGCTCCTGAACAGCTTGTGGCAGTCCTTTGCCAAACTTGCCTCTATTTACAACTTTGTCACACTTTCATTTGTACACAACTTCCTAGACTAATTCTAGGTGCTACGCCTTTCTGTAACTTGTATTTTTCCCCTTTTGTTTAACTTGGTAAACAACTGTTTGCCGTTACACTTTAACTGGTTTGCATGTTGAATCGATAGCGGATATCTTGCTCCTATTGTTATGCTTCATTAGACCGGGTAGGTAGTCGATTTCGGCATATCCAAGGTAAAGTACCGGCTTAGCTTGACGTGTCCTTAGTGTGAGATAGCAATATAGATTGTCTGTCTCACAGATGAAGCAAGCTTACCGATCACATTAGTGTAGTTTTGTCCAGGACTTTCGGTATGCTTCCGTTGAACTTTAAATTTCGAGCGAATCGTTCCTTCACAATAATTTGATGATGAGAAAAAAGCGGTGTCAGAATAAGTTTCCGTCGCTCTGTACCATGACCCGACACCGTAACATATAGCTAACGTAACTCCTCCCAGTACTGCTAATGAGGTTATAGCACGTCTGTTAAAGACGATGATGATCAATACTTAACAGAGGAGAAAGTTTCGACTTTGAGGAAAAACAGCTTTTTCAGACCTACTGTGTTCCATTAGCCGGATGGTCCTGTGCGCGCATAGCGGCTGAAGCTCGCACACGTCTGCTGGCCTCTACCGTCACACCAAACGGCCCCCGACTGGG